TTTTTTTTTTTTGAGATAATTATTTCAATGTATTGGTACAAAATAATTCAGTTTTTGCTGAAGTCGTCAGATATAGGGACTTAGTAGCTTGGCATGTTGCATTTATCGTTGCTCAGGGTGAAGAAGACTGTGGCAGCTGTTGCTCACGATGAAGACACCGATATTGGGGCAGATGAAGACTCTAAAGACAATAGTGCTTCGCCTTCTGATAGCCGAGATGGTTTCGAGGAAACGCATGACTATGGAGGTACGAAAAGTAGAGCATCTCGCAGGTTATCGATGGTGGTTCATGATATTCCAAAATCTGCTCTCAGCACTCCAAATGAAAAGGCAGATTCGGCCATAAAGTAATTCTTCTGTTGCATTTGGTTACGTTGATTTCGTTTCAGACCAATCTTTCTTCCATTTTGACTTTATTGTGTTTTCGCATCTGTAATTTATTTATCTTCTTGAGTTGTCTTAAGGTGTAACGACCCGAAAAAAATTGAGCGAGAATGTCGTAGACGGAGGAATAGGGAGCTGGAAGAGGTAAATAGTCCATTTGTAAAGTCATATGAATTTGGCAGATCATTCTTTCTAGTGACTTGGTGCCTTTTTAATTTAGGAAGTTGAGGACGAAGAGGCTGTGGTAGGAGTTCCTCGGGTGTATTCGTTAAGAACAAATCGAAGTCAGTCGAATTTTTACGGTATTGAAGAACCAGTTACCTCTCGTAATCCGCGACAGGAGTTGCAAGCTAAGATATGTAAACTGCTACCTAGCCGCAGAAGCAAAAGCAGGTATTTCCACCTCGGCTTTTGGAAATAACGTGATCTTACCAGATCTTATTTCGTCTCTGCTTTTTTCATCATCTTTTCATCTTTTACTCTGTCAGACTTGATGTTGATTTTCCATTATATTCATTAGGCATCTAAGCAAGCTGTTGTTCGCTCACAGCGCTTTTAAAAAATTTGAAAAAATTTTTATAGATTTTGTACATCTTCACCAACTCGTGACGATGATAACCAACCGAGAAGATACAATGATGACAATGATAAAGAGCGAGAAAAAACTCGTAGTCGTTTCTTACCCATCAATTTCACTGGTGAATAATATTTCCTTTTAAAAATTTTTGATCTCATTCTTTGTTTAGTTTAGGATGTATTTAGTTTTGTATATCCTTTTACATGCATTTTAAGTAGTTTCGATGGTGTCATTTCAGAAAAGGATTTTGCAATGAGACCACTTCTGAGTGAACGAGTGAAAACAAATAGCTCTTTCCTGAATGATGGGGACTCAATGGGTTTGGACCAACAGATAAGCTTTGATAAAGTTGGCGGTTTGGACGGTCATATTGAGTCTTTGAAAGAGATTATTATACTGCCGTTGCTATATCCAGAGCTTTTTTCTCGTTTTGGTATCAAAGCATCTAAAGGTGTTTTGTTCCACGGGCCTCCAGGTTTGTCTTAAAATTCATCCCAGAAGAGTGAAGTATTTTTGTTTTTGTTGTTGTTTTCTATTTGAATCAGTACTTAAGGTACTGGCAAAACGCTAGTTGCGCGTGCTTTGGCTAACGCCGGTTCTGTGAATGGAAGGAAAATCGCCTTTTTTATGCGCAAAGGAGCTGATATTTTAAGTAAATGGGTTGGGGAGTCTGAAGATCAACTACGGTAATGCTTTGATTGATACATGTTAATGTAACTCTTTTGGTCATGTCTTTCCTTTACTTTATTAGGTCTTTTTCTCCATTTTTTTCTCATATATTCTGATCTAGGCAACTTTTTGAACAAGCTTATCAAATGCGTCCAGCTATTATATTCTTTGATGAAATAGACGGGCTAGCTCCAGCTAGAAGTGGAAAGCAGGATCACATTCATACGTCAATAGTTTCAACCCTCTTAGCTTTGATGGATGGGCTCAAAAATCGTGGCGATGTTAGTCTTCAAATCCGCGACTGACGCTTCTGATTGCACAAATCAATGATATTTTCGTCTTTGTGGTTTCAGGTTATTGTAATTGGTGCTACAAATAGAATTGATGCGATTGATCCGGCTTTGAGACGCCCTGGTCGTTTTGATCGAGAGTTAAAGTTCAGGTATATTTTAACACGTTGGTTTTCATTGATTAATAGATTTATTACGGTACAATTTTCGCTTTCCAGTTTACCCGACAGGAATGCACGTTACGCTATTTTAAAAATTCACACCGCTAGTTGGAAATCGAATATTTTGGATGAAAATTTAAAGTGGATCGCGGACAATACCCCGGGGTATTGTGGGGCAGATCTTGAGGTTTGATTAATGTTTTGGTTTGGTTTTTTTAGAACGTATTTCTTGTGTGTTCCATGCTTTGGTGATGACATTTAGTTTTTTAGTTCCTTTGTACCGAGGCTTTCCTTTCTGCACTACGTACTCAGTTCCCGCAAATCTATGTTAGCGAGAAAAAGTTGGAGATTAATGCTGAAGCGGTTGCAGTGGATAGGCATCATTTTGAAAGCGCTATGCGGCGAGTAGTACCGGCTTGCAGAAGAGGTTTCAATATTGTTTTAAGTCGACATTGAATTGTTTTTAATGCTAACGATCGAGCGTGGTCTTTCCTTCCTTCGTAAGCGTTTCGGTTTTTAGATTTTACTGTCCCCACTCGAAATTTGAATGACCGAGTCGGTTTGCTGTTGAAACCGACTGTCGAGGAAATTATGAAAGATTGTATCCCTCACGGTTATCGTTGTTCATCTAGTGAGAACCAGCAAGCTATTGAGATGGAGCAAGTAGTACGTCGCTTCAGTGTTGCACATGCAGTCCCTCCATGTCAGTTTTTTTATAATTTTTTAAACACAGGTTTACTGTTTCCTAGCTTTTTCACTCTTTAAACCCACTCTCCGGTAGTAACTGGAGTAGTAATTGTTCGAAATTATCATTGTTCAGCTGTAGAATGAAGGTTCTGTTGCTTCAGGTCGTCTTCTTGTTTCTGGAAAGTGTGAAAGCATGGGACAGACGTCATATGTATTGCCGGTGCTGCTGAATAATCTTGGGCATTTGTCTATCTTCTCATTATCAGTGGCGAAACTTTTTCGGGGAGGTGGGATAATTGTTTTTTTTTTTTATTATTATTATTTTTTATTTATTTATTTATTTTTCTTGCGGTGCTTTAAGAAGGAGCTATGTAAATTTTTTGTGGTTTGTACACTCTAAATCTCTTGTTCCCGTTATTTACAGGATGCATGGAAGAGACTTTTACCGAAGCAATTCAACAAGCAATTAGTTCGTCTAGTAGGGGTACTCCTGCTCTACTGGTAATTCCCTCAATTGATGTTTGGTACCGAACTGTACCTCTCTCCTTATGGCAGTTGGTTTGTCTTTGTTTATCACTACATGCTGAATTACTGTCGTTTATTGTTTTTAAACGGCTGATATTTTAGCTCACTGCTGCTTTGAACTCATTTTCCGAGTCAACTTCTATTCTCTTTTTAGCGACATCAGGGTGTTGTTACGATCAACTTCCTCAAGAGGTTTTTTGTCGTCTTTAATCTCCACTTTGATTTTATTCTTATTTGAAGTTTTGTGGTTTTACTGTAGTACTTTTCAGGTTCAAGAGCTTTTCCGTCCACGCCAAATACGAGAAGTTGAGCCGCCAAAAGAAGAACTAAAATTACAATATTTTAATCAAGTAATTGTTGAACCATCCCTGAAAGAACCGCAAGTTTTTGATGGTAGGTTCTTTCCTCTTTCGGTCTTCTTCAGCGGCTTCTTTTTCCTCATCTTCATTTCTTTTCGCAGCTGCCATTTATCCCGAAATACCCATTGCTGCCGAAACGAAGTTGGTTCACACGTACAGTAAAGAGGAACTTGACGAATTGAAGAAGAGTTATGACAGAGACAGGAATGAATTGAGCATCCATTATATAGATACAATTTGTTAGTGTCTTGTTCTATTATTTTTAAAACAGAGTTTTCCAGCTGAATGGCCACATTTATCGAATTTCTTTACAGTACGTTTTATTCGGGATAGAAGGTTCAGCTATTTCGAAGTTGCTGTAGATTCTGAAGAAGTGCCTGACTATTATGATGTGATTAAGCAGCCTATGGATTTGTCAACTATGCTTGACAAAGCTAACTTATACAAAAGCCCTGAAGATTTTTTGGCAGATTTCGCACTTATTCGTGATAATGCGCTGGAGTATAATTCTTATACTGATTCTGAGGGTAACTTATCTTTTTAGCGAGTGGTTCAGCAAAATTTAGTATCTTTTTGTTGTGAGATTGCTCTTTCAGGCCGCATTATTCGGCAGATGGCTAAAGCCTTGTATCATAAGGGCGAACGTGCCTATCATGAGATCGACAGTTCTTTCTTGCGGAAACTTCAGGTATACTATCTTTTGCTCCGTTATTTATGCTTTCTTATTGTTGTCGTTAAAATTGGTTTAACTTTTTCGTTACACTGTAACTTTGTAGGAAACAGAGAAAGTTCTTCTCTGCAATGGAATAAAATTACCTGGATTCGATGAGACAGACGTGGCCAAGCTGTTAGAGCCTGAAGTAAAGCCACCATGCGACCCACCCATTTTTACTGGGGTGAGTTATGGTCACTTTGGATTTTAGAATGTAGAGGTACCATCTTCTAGAAGCTCTCGTATTTGCTTTCTTGCTCTAGGTTGCTGTAAGGAGGAAGGTTGTTCCTAAGAGACGGAGTTCTTGCCGCTTGCCTTTTGGTAAGAAGCGTCGCCGTCTTAATCCCAGTTCGAGGATTTTAAAGAAATATAAAAGGCAAAACGCGAAACTCACGCTCAATGTCGAGAATGATGCGAGGTGCACTCATTGCTTTTAATCAGTATTGGCTACATGTTTTGTTGTCGCATTAATCTTTTGATTAGTTATTCTAAAAAGGGTATTTTTTTCAGCTGCAATGAAGCAATCGATTTGGCCACGGAAGAAGCGAGTGGTGAGGACGCCGAAAACGTTTCGGATGATGTGCAAAGGAAGGATAAGGCGGAGCAAGACGTTAGTCCTGTTGTTTAACGTGCTAATATAACAGTGGTTTTTGTTTACAGCGTTGAGAATATTACTTCTTGCTCATATTGTTTCAGGAGCAGAAAGTAAAGTTGGAAGAGATAGAAGAGGTGGTTTCCACTCAACGATTAGTGGTTAATATTGAGAAGCTAAACAGTGTTGTTGCTAAAGTGAGCCGCAGGGATTTTTTTTCTTTACAAAATTCAATGCAGTTTTAACTTCATATTAACGTTCCTGACGTGGATTTGTTTGGTACCTTAAAATTCCGCAAGTGACGTAGTTCTTCGAGGTTTATGATTATTGTCTACGCATTGAAATGGAATTTTCCACTTATTTTTCTGACTTTCAGGCTGTTGCGAAAACTAAGTTTTGGCCGTTAGGGGAATTGGAGCTTTTGGCTAGTGAGTTGTCGGCAGCAGTAGACCGATTTTCAGACAAGTGGAATAGGGAAGAGTTGCCTAACGTTTTGACTGCAATTATCAACATTTGGGATTTTGACGCGGAGTCTTCGAGCCGAGAGGATGAAGATTAGAGTTTGTTTATTCTGTGATTGATTTAGTTTTTAATTGTCTAATTGTTTTATTTGACTTAAAATTCTCTCTTGTTTGTATATTGTGAATCGCCTTAGTCAGAATTACTCTAATCCTTCTTAAGATATTATGTATTGCAGGAGTCTGTTAATTGTTATTATTTTTCACCTCTTTATGAGGTTGTTTTGTAATTTTCTGTTAAACTTTTAGACTTATTTTAAACTTTTTTAATTGTTAGGTAAGCGGGTTTACAGGCTGCTTTGGGTTGTGCAAGCTTCTCATAGTTTTTTAGGGGAAGGTTAATTGCTTTATTTTGTTTAAAGGAATTGCGTGGGAAGATGAGAAAAGCAGAAAAACTTTGTTGGGTGGAGGTTACTTTTCATAGAAGGGCCCTTATAAACGATCAGATGCATCGTGTTTATCGTGCAACTGTTTAAGTTTTGCAAATTACGATGAACTTTTTGGTGATCGGTTCAGTTTGCTGTTTCTTAGTAGCTTAGACCTGTAAATTTAATTTTGTTTTCATCGTGCTGCGGTCTACACTATTTTGTGAGGGTTTGTTTTTAGGAGTCTCTAGTGTACAGTTTTCACTACGTATATTTTATCTCCATATTGTGTACATTATAACTTTTTAATATTTTTTGGAATGTGAATGGCTTACTAAATGTCTATGCTTTTTTTGCCGACGACTGGAGCTAATTGAATTCTAGTACACTCTGCATCCGTTCAGCTTTTAACTCGTATTCTGTCGTTTTGCATTTAAATTTACTGTTTTATCTTTAAGAAGTCTAAAAACTGTTTTGAACTGTTGCAGTTTAGTTGGCGATTTTATGCCAGATAAAACTTGAGATCTGAAAGGTTGCTAGTGATAAAACAGCCGAGAATTCGTTTAGATAGTAGTTGGTAGGTGAGTAAATGTTTGCCAGATATGCTTTGCTTATGTTTCCCTTTTTGTGGATGTCAAGGGAATATAGATTAGGTCGCCAGGCAACGCAATTTCTGACTACGTTATATCGTACTTTGGACTCGTTTGGTTCTTTTCACGACTGCAAAATGCAGTGAGTGCGGTGGTTGCATGTTTTGGTGGCTGCTGATGTTTTGAAGTTGAGGCGTATTCAATATGAAAAAATATATTTTGAGATCATATTGCAAAGGAATACTAGACAAACGGTATGCAAGTCCATTATTTACAAATATCATTTGGAAGTTTGAATCCACGCACGAGTGTTGCGCAGAAAAGTTAAATTTACAGCATCCATCTGGAAAGGTCGTTTTCCAAAATTTGAATAGAGTCGATGAGAGCATATTCTGCTCGCGAAGCTAATGCAGCCAGTTTTGCTTTTGTTTGTGACGAGTTGGTGTTGAAAACGTTAGGCTGGATGAAGAAGGATATGCCAAATAGAAGGAAGAACACTTGATTGATGAATGATAGTCGATAAGCTTTTTCCAGCTGGAAATGGAAGTCAATTTT